GAAATGTTTTACACCAGGGAGAAATATGTCAGCTGATAAATATATATGAAACAGATTTTCTATAAAAAAGTAGAATTAAATTGTATTTCTAGCCTATTTCTTAAATAAATAAAAATGAATTCCCAATAAAGATCGAAATACAAAATGAAACTGTGTACCAGAAACAAATACAATATTGAGGTTAGAATGTCTTCTTATGTAGAGTAGTACAATATAGATACTATATTTTTAGAGGATAACCCCCGCCCAAAAGCGGATGTTTTTTCAAAGCTATGCATTTAAATTTTTTTTATAAAACAACAATTATCACTATTAAAGCACTCTCCATTATACTTAATACATTTGTCAAATATGCGATTCCATTCTTAGAAACATTTTTGAAACTCATCTGTTTGGATGGCTGACAGCACTTCCCTTGCTTTTTTCTTTACCTCTTCTACATCATCAAATTGCTGCCTTTTCATGTCCCTTTCATTTGTGGAAACAAAAAAGTTGCATGGAGCGAGGTCAGGTGAGTCAGGTGTGTGGGGCAAGAGAGACATTCTGTTTATTGTCAAAAACTGGCACACAGAGATGACTGCGTTAGCAGGTGCATTGTCATGGGGGCAAAACCAGTCCACAGTCTGCCACAAATTAGGTCTTTTTTGCCACACACTATTACACAATTTCTTCAGAACCTTTAAATAGAAAGCTTGATTAATAGTCTGTCCTGGTGGAGCTAGCTCCAAATACACTCCAAATACTTTTTTGTCCGTTCACTAAGTTGATGGGTGTCCAGAATGAGGTTTGTCATCAATTTACATTTAACTTTTTTTGAAATGAGAAAACCACTGTTCACTTGAGTTTTCCCATAGCACTGTCTTTGTAAGCTGTGCTCCACATCACAACAGTTTCTGCGGCATTTTTCCCAGGCAGGAAACAAGATTTCACAGCTGTATGCTGTTCTTTCAATTGGCCGGCACAAAAAATAAAGTTTGAGTGAAACTGCTTTTATGAAAAAATTCACTGTGATCAGAGAGAACCTTCCTGGAGACCGAGGCCACTGGGGGCACTAACTCAGAATGAGTTGCTCACTGCTTGTATAATGGGAAAATGTGTACTACGAAATCTCTACCCAGCAGAATTTTTTTCCATTTTGCTTTTTGTTTTCTTTTGGTACCTCCTTGTATTTTATTACATATAAATGATAAATTCCTATGTATTGAAAAATATAATAAACATTTAAAATTAAAAAACAGGCTGAGAAAAATATTTTCTACAATGTATTAAGAGTTCATGAAATCAAATGTAACTCCAGATTTGGATGAACCATTAATATATAGAAGATGAAGAAGTATAAATATCTAATAAGGTCAAAGCATTTTCAGTCTTTAAAAAAAACACAAATTCAAGAGAGATTGATGATATATCTGTGATAATTCAGGGAAATGGGTTCCTTTGTAGGAGTATAACTTGACCTCTTTCTTGGGAGGGCAGTTTCTCCTAACATTTAAATTGTAATTTCATGTGTAAAATTGCCCTTTTGAAAATGTTGCATGTGGCACAAAGATATGCAAGAAGGCTTCACAACGTTTGTAGAGAAATTATATCATCTTTTAATCCTTTTTTTCCTCAGGAAATTTTTGAAGGCTCCTTCTATATGTACAAGGAAATACCTTCTAGCATGTCGAGTTGAGAAAATTGGAACCATCTCATGTTTGTTCCTAGAGGAATAATTCAAAAAATGAATTGTATATACAGTTATCCATAATAATTGGAGTTGTTAACATGCTTATGTTGTATAAATGCCAAAACACAATGTTTACTTTAAAATATTTTATCAAATATCACATTGTCATACATTTATTCTAAAAAGCATAAAAGTAAATTCTATATATGTGTATATATATGCTCACACATATATTTACATGCATTATACAAATGCCTGGAAGTAGATTCATAAAAGCATTGCTTTATCAGTGGTTACCTCAGAAAATAGGAAGTGAAATAAACAATTAATTACTTAATTGCTCTCTAAATTTTGACTAAAAAAAAATTTTTTTTTGTTTGACTAAAAACCAAACCAAACTCACTGCCATTGAGCTGATTTCAGCTCATAGTGAGTCTTAACATAGTAAACATATGTTGTGTAAAAACTTTTAAAGAAAATGTTCATTTTTGTGCTTTGGGATAATGTTTCTGTTTTTGTAATAGAGAAAAGTAATAAAATTAATGGTCATCTGAGCACAGAACTATGTAATTGATGATTGGAATTTTCATGGTTTATTGAGTTGAATGAATTTGTTTCCAGTTTTGCGGAAACATTAAACATTATGGTGCTGTTCATTTTTGGCAATATTTTGGAGAAGGGTTATAGAAATATTAGGCTTTTACCTCTTTAAATTTTCATTAATTTGGAATTTTTAAATGATACCCCAGAATCTCTAATTTATAGTTTTACTTTTGTCCAGGCCCATCAAACTACAGTGAAGAAAGTGAATCCTGGAGTAGAAAGGAGGAAAATGTTTGAGGTATAAGGACATCTGTCTGCTTATTTCAAAGCAATTATAAAATAATTATAAATGAAACAAAACATAAAGAAACAAAACATTACAGTATAAAACCTCCAAATCTTTCCTCCTTATTTTTTTCAACTAAATACCACTAACTTTTTTCTTTTTTAACTTCCCTAGACATATTTGTCATTGGTATACTAACTCGCCTGATGTACTAGAATGTAGGAATTATCATTAATGATTTTTTTCTTTTATAATATAAGGAAGCAGCAAGAAAGAGAAGGTTAGAACTTATTGAAAAAGAAAAGAAACAAAAGGAACAGGTAATTTTATTGTTCCTTTGCCAAGTTTTAGAGTTTTGTTATTTCAAGAGTTCTAACCATTTGTCTTTGAAATTGTTACAGATTAGTTTAATGAAGGCTGAACAGATGAAAAGGCAAGAAAAGGAAAGGGTAAGGATAATCATTATTTCATTGTACATTCTTCCTTCACACACACACACACAACACACACACACACACACACACACACACTCACTCACTCACTCACTTTTTGTATACATATAATTTGTTATTGAGATTACAAGGGTACAGCCAAACACACACCAATTCATTGTACACCATTTAGTGACATTGATGTAATTCTTTGAACTGTGTAACTATTTTCACCCTCCTTTTCTGAGCTGTTCACCAGTTGAAGTAAATTCACTCCTCCTTAGACTTCATATCTAATCTTGCAAATTGCTGTTGCCAATGTGATCCCACATAGATAGTTCTTAAAGAGCATTAATACTCAAGGCAGGCATCTGTTACTAGTTAGGCTAAACTACTGTTTGGTTTTTAAGCAGTCTTCAGGAGATGTTTTTGGTTATCAGGGAAATAGTTTCAGGGATTCATCCAACCATCATGGGTCCCAGAAGTCCACAAGAATTTGAAATTCTGTTCTGCTTTCCTTCCATTCTGATCAGGATTTTTATTTGGTATGTTTGATCAAAATGTTCAGTAATAGTACTCAACACCATCCAGTTACTCTGATCTCGTGACAAAGGAGGCAGTAGTTCACAGAGCCACACATTTCACATCATTCTATTTCCAGCTCTTCCGTCTCTGTTGTTCCAGGTGAATCAACACTAATTCCTGTGCCCTATATGGGCACTTGCAACCTTGGAAGGCCTCAGGCACTATACTTCAAATTCAGACATAGAACAGAGGCACTAAACATTTTAAGTCTATTACTGGTATGGCCCATGAAGCCATGACTCTAAAATTCCAAGCAAAGAAACAATCCCAGGAGGCTTTAAGCTGTCCGCCCCCCCACTCCAATGAGTGAATCTGATATTTTTGCCAATTTAATTTCTCAAAGATACACAACTTATTGATGGCAATTACAAGTACAGCTGGGCACCCCACCTTAAGCCCGTTTCCATCACCATTAGCTACCCGTTTCCTCCCTCCCTCTTACCTTGGGTAACGACTAATAATACTTTGCCTATAAATTTGCCTTTTTTTCTCTTTCCAGCTAATTGAGGTCATACAGTATTTTTCCTTTTGTAATTGACATTTTTCACCCTGAACACCATCACAGACACTTTATATTTCATTCCTAAATGGTTTTTATGACATTTATATTAAATACTTGCAATGGTATTTTGTTTGTTTCTTTCCCAAAAGTTGGAGAAAATAAATAGGGCCAGGGAACAAGGATGGAGAAATGTGCTAAGTGCTGGTGGAGGTGGTGAAGTAGAGGTAGGCATCTGATATCAATGTAATCAATCAACTACTACCATTTTTTTTCCAATTTCAACTTGTTCTTTAAAAATATATTTAATTTTTGTGTGTAGACACAGTTAATTTTTATTTAGAATT